CGAAGATCGCCAGTCGCGCCCGAAGAATATTGGTGAACGCACTTTCCACGCAGAGTATAAATATTTTCAAACTTGTACTCTCTATTTCACACACACACACACACACATATACACACACATATGTACACATATATATATATTTTTTAAGGACAGTGAAAATAAACATATATTTGGGAGTTAGTTCAAATACACGAAGAGCTTTGGTAAATAATAGGAAACTAGCCGGAACGCGTATAATAATGAAGGAAAGATGAATGGCAGAATAATGAAATTATTTATTGAGCATTGAGGACCTTACGACTCCGCCACGCGTACGCGCGCGTTACTCCTTCGTATAACGAAACGTTATCAGTAGTCAGATAAGAAAATATATAGCCATGCATTTGCATGAGAAGTTCTGCATTACATCACATTTGTGATGCGCTTAACTTACCTCGACCTGCCACACGCATACACACACGCGTGCGCACGCATACATACGAAACAAAATATTTATGCTAATATTCTAATATTATATTCACGAGAAAAACCGTTATGGTTGACTGGTCCAGCAATTTAGGTCTGGTTGCACCAACATTATTTTGGCTTTAAGCGAAACTTAAACATATATCTATCTTTATCTTTCCTTCTAAATAAATAAAGACAGACATATATTTAAGTCTCATTTAAATAAAGACTAAAGAAGAAAGTCTAAATAAATAAAGACAGACATATATTTGTCTCATTTAAAACCAAAATAATGTTGGTGCAACCGGGCCTTAATAAATTTTTCTCGCGAGTGTTCTACTAAATAATAAATGTAATTAATTAGCACATTAAAATAATACACTGATTTTCACATGATGCCACTAACAAAATAAGTTCCCTAACGCCGACCTGTCGCGATTACTTTATGAGCGCGTTATCGAGCATTTAAAATACGTCAACAGACATATATTGTAAAAAAAATGAAAAAAAAGAAATGTCAACGTAAAGTAGCGCGAGAATTTCTCGCGTGTCATAAAGTAGCGACACGCGAGTACGAGCCGTTTCATCCGCTGTAAGCACATTCGTGTCGCGCTTTATGCAGTTACGCAGCCGATCGAACAAACAAACCGCGACGCTAAGTGATTCCGTTCGCTCGGAGACCACCGTCACGGTTTCGACACCGGCGCTTATACCCTCTGGACGTCCGGCTCCGTTTTGAGCCTGATTGCCACACATTGCACACCGCAAGAGAACGTATCGATAAAACAACAATGGGAATCAGGTCGATCATCCGTTGTTGCCATGAAAAAGAGAGGTCAACGTAGAGTGCGAAGACCACGCGATCGCGAGTTTAGCCGCGTTTCTTGCGCGCATCAACGCGAAAGAAAATAAAAAATAATCACAAAGACAATATATATACACACACAGAGTGTAAAAGTGTTACAGACTATTGCTTTTAAAACTAAGTAAAACGTGAAATTATTGTTTTCCAACAACTGTTTGGTATAAATGAAGATAACATCATTTAGGGCCGATTTTTCAATAGCAGTTTAAACTTGGATTCAAGTTTTAACTCTATTCTAACAATGCGTTTGTTTTGTTTAAACAGAGTTTAAGTTGAAATCTAAGTTTAAACTATCATTGAAAAACCGGCCCTTAATGAAGTTGGTTTTTTCCGGATCAAGTCGTTGAAGGGATGTGAAATTGATGACGAACTCGAACAATGTCGATAACGCAGAAACGATCGTCACTAACACAACCACATTATCCTTTTCTTGTACATAAAGAACTTACGTAAATGTTTTGTTTTATCATATTCAGCGGACTTAACCACACATGTGTAGAAATCTTTCTACAAGCTTCTCGGATATTCTTAAGCTTCTGAATTCAGACAGCAATGTTCTTCAAAGTTTTTCTGTTTAGAGTATCCACTTTAGGTGTGAATGCTCTAAAGCATTCTCTAAAGCTGCGAATTAGGCAAATATTACGCTAACTGACAGTTTGAGATTTTCTATTTAAAATTTTCTTTTCGTTTTGTTATATATTTTATTTTTGTTATTTATTTTTATGAATATTTATTGCGTAAAAGCATTTTTAATTCTGCACAACCAATACGACGTAAACTTTGCAGGAAAATGTCAATGTCGGTAAAGTTTTCAGCTTCAGCATCCTCTTAAGATAAATTCAAGGACACTTAATCATCATTTTTAATCATCAACATAATAGTCTATAACATCTTTAATTGTATATCCTACATATATACATTCTCTCTCTATTATATATACACATATATAACATTTTACTGTGTGGATATATAAAATTGAATGTCTGTCTGATAGTCCCCACGTTAACTCTTAAACTCTTGGACTTATCAGGCTATATGAAATTTTGGCACTCCTTCTCCTTCCCCTGAATTGATTTGAATCCCCTGATTTCAACCCTTTGACATTTTGTAATAATTTAAGTTTGGATGTTCTAGACAATAAGAAGCCTATGCAACAACGGATGGTTTAAGCTAGTAATTAATAAACGCCAAGTGAAGTACGTGCGTTTAGAAAATCGCGAGACCATATGAGGAGGTATCGTTGGCAGCGCGTCCGACTCGCGCCTTTAATCGATGCAGAATTTATGCACTCGTGGCGCAACTGCAATAACCGTGCAACACACCGCGTTGCACTTTCTACGACCAGGTGTCATCGCTCGTGTCTGCACTTTTGAAATCGGTTTACATCCAATTCGCGCCATCGCGCTATGCGACACAACATCGTGTCCGCACGAGAGATTATGCGCGAGGCGGTGAATTATTAGAGGCACGACTGGACCGGGTTAGTCTATTTCTCTTGCCGTTACGGAAGAAAAAACAGGTAGTATTTTTTTGTCTCTCTCCAAAACTGCGCAAAATGAAATATCTCGTCCGTGACATCGGACGTGTGTCGACGATGATGCAACGCGGTTCGCAAAATTGGCTTGAACACTCGGTCGCCAATTACACCTCGAGTTTTTGTGTCGATGATGCGACAGCAGATGATGGCATTGCGGATATTTTCGATCGAGCAATAATCCTGCGCGGGCTATTAGATTGCGACATTTTTTCATTGAGTGTGTCACTCAGTGATTGTGATTATATTAATATCCGTTCAATGACAAGTCCAATAGCAGTCTGCGAATTCTCCGAAATAATGAGCGATGTACACATTGACCTTTTTCTTAAATCTTATAAGGAGTTATAAACGTCCTTCAGATCAATAACCTTAGCGTTGCTTAATTTGGTTTAACCAATTTACCACTTTAAAACGACATATAATTCTATGCTGATTTTTTTTCTTTTTACACGGAAAGAGAATTTGATAGTAAAAATTATTACAGAATTTCGCAACACGCAAGGTTTAAATCGACATTTTAGCGATTATCCTTTCATTTCATGGTCCTTGTTCTCTTTCATCGATAAAAGCGTCTCCGTGACTTAGAAGCCTTTTGATTAGCTTATAAGAACTTAGAAGTACTTTTGTCGATAAAAGAGAATTTGAAATAAGAGCCCATACGCGCTACTTGTATTTCAGGAACTAAAATGCTTTATTAAAAAATTTATTGTATTTTTAACAAGATTTATTTCGCTTGTAAAATGACGTGTAATTCCCTATTGATTCATTTTTTCTTTTACGAAGAGAATTTCATAGTAAAAATTACTACACTATTTCGTAACCGAGGAATAGATCGATTTTCTGCAATAATTGGCTATTTTATTTCACATGCTACTTATATGCTACTCACATGCTACTTATATTTTTATACTCATATTAGCTGAGTAGTAACTAGTTAAAAAGTTAAAAGTTAAGTTAAAAAGTTAAAAAATTAAATAGCTTTAACTTAACTTAGTTACATTTTTACAATCTTAATTTTTAATTTAACTTAGTTACATTTACTACTATTAATTTACTATTAATTAATAACTATTAATTTTTAATTCAATTATCTTGAAGTTAACCGTGCCATAAAGGTGTCGCGAGACACCTCGAAAGGCTGTTCAGTGCAGGAGGGTTCATTTTCGAAAATCTTCGAAGAAAAATTTCGAAAAAACTTTATTACTTAAATTTAATAAGTATCTGTAAATAAAACATGTTTCCAAATAAGATATATATTTGTTTTTTCCGTTATTTGTAAAACTGAAGTCATGAAATGAAACAAATTTAACTTTTAACTTTTAAATTATTTTTTTCATTAACTTAACTTTGAATTCAATTAATTTCATTATGGGTTAACTTTATCTTAACTCAGTTAAATTTTCAAAGCTATTAACTTTAACTTAACTTAGTTAAAAAAAATTTAACTTACCCTGCATATTATATTTTAAGAAATGGAATGCGCTACTAAAAAATTTGCTATGTTCCCAATGAAATTTATTATATTTATTGGCAAAATGGACCATACTAGCAATCTATTTCTGCACTTAGAGACATGGAAAAGAATTTATATGAACAAAAACCACAATTATTTTTTCCGTAAAAAATTAAGCTAACTACAACAGAAAAAGAGAGAAAGAGGAAGAGAGAAATGGGGCAGAAGGAGACAGACATTTCGGAGAAGAAAATCGATGTTTTCTATTCTACAAATGGGCATTGCGTAACGGCGAGACTTGCGGTCGTCGACCCTAGCCGAAAATGTTGCACTGTTCGTAAATTACATACCGTCGTTTACGAACGAGCACGACGAGAAGTCTCCTTTGATAACTCTCTTGCATTACCGTGTCAATGTCAACAGAGCTGGGCTTGTAAAACGTCGATAATTCCACGCTCATCAGATTCGCATACAGTCCACGTAGCCGCCGCCATGCAATTTACGTGAATTCCCGACGATGTACTAATTCGAGGAGGACAGGGTGAAAGTCCCCGACGCATCGGGTATTCGATGGGCGAACACAATCTCGATTTAGGGGAAAACAACGGATTATCAGAAAAACTATTCTCAATAAGCGAACATTTGAAGTTCCCGTTATCGAAGGCGTTATCGAAACGATTTTTTTCTACTTTTTCCAGAGACCTTCTCCGAGGAGATTGACTTCGAAGCGCGCAAGTTATTGCAAATTCTTCCCGCGTACGATCCCGGCGCAGGACATGTCAGTGCAGAATGCAAGCGACACTCCAACATCTTCCACGAGGAGCTCGCGAAATTTACATTGTGGGCCCTCAAAAGTAAGCGCTCGTCGTTCATATATAATTATATTTGAAAGCATGCGTGGACTCAAAGCGAACTCTGTTCGAGAGTCCGAGTTAATTTCGGGATTGAAGCAAGTAATGACAATCGTGGAAATCTCATTTCACCCGAGAATTCCTCTCGAGAGAGGATTGTGTGAGACCACGGGCCCTATTCTGGACGCGTATCAAAAAGCACATATGCCTTTCTGATCAAGCTGAAATAACTTGGTGTTCATATAAGAAAAGCGAAACTTGGGACTAGAAAGGCGCATTTAGCGTCCGCTATGCGTTCAGAATAAGGCACCAGACTCGTTCACGTGACCGTTAAATTGGGAACAACTGAAAATGGAAAAAGGCCTTTGTGCTCGACGATCATTCGTGAGCGATTCGCGCGATTATATAAAATCCGGTTACAAGCCGATGAACATTAGAACCTACGATTCTATTCCATACGCGACGCATGGGATTTGGCAACAGTCGCTTAGACAAATTGGCCGTCACTCGATTTCTCTTTGTACGGATTCACGTTATACGTGAATACTCGCCGCTGTTATCGAGGGTGTTATCCTTCGGCGTTTGTGCTCCGCGAAAAGGGTGCTGCGTATGTCCAACCCAGCATGCAGTCGCGCGCGTCCACACGATTCCAGATTCTAGACTTGACAATAGTTCCGCACGCGTATTTTCATGAGAAGAGCTACAGAGGGAAAATATACGAGTTAAGTCCAATCAGCCGCGCGCGATTACATTGAAGGAAAAAATATCTAAGTATAGACAAGATTTACTCGGTGACATATTTACTAAAATAAAGTATTTCTCAAACAAGGAGATACACATTTTCTTAAAACCTGAAGAAAATCTTAGCTTTTCACGAAAGCAATTGCCTGTGCCATTTAAGTAAAAGAATTTAGATTTAAGTCAACATATGTTATTAGTACCCACGAAATAAATATTTTATTATTTTTTGCATATTTTTTTCCTCTCAGTGTACGAATTGTCCTCTTACAGTTCCACCACGAGAAAGAAATCAAGAAAAGTCGTCGCGAAGAAAAGAAAAAGGAAAATCGCGTGACAACTGGTAGATTTTTCGGCATCTTTCTGTCTTGCCAAGTCTTCCCTCTGTTAGTTCCTCCAGTTTATTTTATGTGAACGTCAAATGTCAAGTTGTTTCAGCTTGAGAATCAAAAAGGCATATTTAGCGTTCTGCCCGCGTGAAGTTTTAATTAGTGTTTTCCCGTTTTCAGTGTACGACGCGACCGCAAAGGTGCCCTCCGGACTGCTGAGTGGCAACGTCAATCAATTCGGCGATTTTGACGAGTGCGTCGGTGTCGAGGGCAAGGATGGCATCCGAGGACAGTACTGTCTGGCGTACTTGAAGCTGGACATCGACCAGTCCCGGCCCGATCTCAAATACCTGCACCGGCTGTTGCATTCGCACTACGCGTTCCGCAGCAACTTAACCGACGTGAGTACAATTGTGTATTTGGCGAGACGTGCCGCGCGCGCGTCGCTTTCGCAATTTCATCGCGATATTTCACATTCGCTATAGCGGGACCGTGCGATCGATTCGGCATGTAGGCAATATCGCAGTATAAATTACGGACATTCCGATCTTATCCTCTCGTCGCCGATTTCGCGTGAGATACGGCGGCTATGAGCGACAATTCGTCTCTCGTTCCGCAGGAATAGCGACATTTCGCGGAACGCGGAGATGCTACGCGCTGTAATGTCGTTTTATTTTCGCACAGTTTCGTACAGAGGACAATATCGCTGGAATACAAATCATTAATACGCCCGCGCACGTGTATCGCCCGCACGCGCGCGCGTTTAATGTGCACACATACGTACACATATATTACATCTGGTAAAGGAACAGGACGGCGGTACCAGTTTCAATGAAATTCATGAATATGATAAAGTTACTCAATCTGGCGAATTAGATATTCCACGGATATTTTGTCGGAAAGATGGGGAAGTCCGGCCGATATCTCGCGGTAAAACTCGCACTGCTGACGAAATTCACCAGTTGATCGCCAATTCGCGCAACGTCGAGCGATCTGGGGGTTGGCTGCCTCCGCGAAAAATATCGTCGAATCGATTTCTGTGATTGTAACGTCCATACCATCCTAATGGCTCGACGTATCGTTAGTACAGGCGTTTAATCTGCGATGAATATGTAGTGGACGGATGTAAATCCGCGACGCGCGGAATTTATGTAAATCGAAGGACAGCCGCAAACGGGACGTCGACAGGACAAAAGACCGAGGAAGGAGAAGAGGAGGAGAGAGGCATCGCGACAAAGACGACGCGGGATGAATTTCAACGGGAGGGAAACGACGAGACACACGTAAACGACTCGAGAACAAAATTTATCGTCGAGGCTCGTCGCGTACTGTTAGAGCTTAGGTTCGAGCTGGGGACGAGAGTCGAGTTATTCTGACGTTTCGCGGGATTCAGATGTATCCGTAATCGCGGGAATCCCATGGCGGACTTTGCTCGACGGGTATCCGCGTAAGAACACACACGATCGACTCTTAATTGAGATATCCGTTAACGCGCGCAATTCAGCCGCAGAAATAGCTTTACAAGCGATCGCTCGGGACGATCGTGTGTGCAGGAAATCGTTGTCTCGCTTCGATATCGACGTGATTCGCGAGATCTGAATCGCAATAATGGTACTGGTCGCGACCGGTTATCACGTAACGTATGCGTGTAACGTTGCTGTACAATGTTGCGTATCGCATAATGTCCATCATTATTAATGTTGCTAGGCAGAATCAAGCGCATCAATTATAGCTGTTTAACTAGGTAAAGTATCAATTATTTTTCCAATAAAATTACTCGTTTCGCCTTTAGTGAGAATCTTACACAGCAGGTGATTTATTAAATATTTTGTTCTTCTTGCTCTTTTATAATCGAACGTTTTAATCGAAGGTTAGAGAGCCCTGACAAGAGTAAAGGTTAGTAGACAAGAGTAAAAGTTAGGTAAAATTTGGAGAGTTGTAAAAAGTTGTAAATTAATAGAAGTACTTGTTGTTATGTATGTACAATATTTTTATAAAACATTGGAAAAGAATTCATTACAAAACTTTGAACGCATTATTCGCGAAATAGCATTTTTTAACTGCAACCACGATAACAGTTTATTCGATAAATTTAACGTTTGACATAAATGTTTATTATAATTGTCTGCATCGATTCACGAAGACTTTCCGCAAATTTCAAAACCATTTTTCATTTATTTCATTTACAAACTAAAATTTTTCAGGAAAACAGATTAAATTAAATTTTTTATAATTTTCATTTTGCAAAATATTGTTTCCTTAAAAAAAATTCACTGTATAACTTTAATAAACCTTAATAACCTTGATAAAATAATGTATTGATTCTGACCTCAGATCACTTCTATATTGAAGCCAGAACTCTCCAAATTTATCTAATTTTACTCCTGTCAGGAGTATCTGATAGTCCTTGAAAAGACTGTCCTGTAAGTTCTTAAAAGCCTTCCGCAAAATACATCCTTGATGACACCGGTGTGTGATTAACGCGATTAGCACACTGAGAGTCTTGCCACTGCAAGAATTAAAACCGCAGAAAAGGCTCCCTCGTGTACAATGTTCTAATATAACATGAAATTACGCGCACGTATGAAACATTGTATATAAAAACTTGTTTAATCTTTGAATTACAGGAAGGCCACAGGATACCGCGTTTTAGCACCATCAACTGGGCCGTTTGCACGCCCGCGTCGTGTACAGCTGAAGACGTGAAGAACTCTCTTCAGCATACTATTTCCAAGTACACAGCTCAAACGGGCTTCAAGATTACGCTGCGAGTGGAAAAAAACATGTGCCAAGTGAAGGAAGAAGTTGTTCTACCAAAAGCAGCCATCGCTGTCAGGTAAGAGACTCGCGATCGGGAATGTTTGCTTAAATCGCATCGAGCACTTCGCATCAGTACATACACTCACTTGTAAAAAGTATGCGAATTAAAATACAGATAGACGGATGCCTGTTACCCACGAATTTCTCTAAGTGTTTAAAAAAAGTTCTGAAAAATTATTCCTTTTCTTAACCCCTTCACTTAAGCGACGGAGTTCTCGTCGTCGGTAGTGAAAGAGTTAATCGAGAGAAGATATCGGTTTCTCTGGATCGCAATTTTCGCTTTTCAGTCTCCTCATCGCTACTGCGTTCGTTCTAACTCTGGTAGCTGCTTGTTACGATCACTACAAGATACCTGTCAGCGAGTTGCTCTTATCATTCTCTCTGAAACGTAACGTCCAGAAATTGACCTCCCTGGAGAGACCGCAAGGTGACATCGCGTCGCTGCATGGAATTCGGTTTTTCAATAGCTTTATGCTGATCGTCTCTCACAAAAGCATGGCAATATTCTACGATCCTTACATAAACCGAACTTACATGACTGAGGTACGTTGTGATATAACATCAGTGTGCAACAGCGAATTTATATTTTGTTCAGGTACACACTGCGTGTTTGTGCACTCACCGATAGAAAGAAGAATTTATTCTCTCTCTCCTACTGCGATTACACGAGTTATTTCAGTTCAAGATAAATGACAGTTTGCACATAGATTTTAGGCAGACCGTGGACTGTGATTGCGAGAGCGGCTAGTCTGTACACTGATCCGTTTATCATGTTATCTGGCCTTTTAACGGCGTACTCATTCATAGGCCGATTGAAAAGAACAGGATCTTTGGATATCAAGAACGAGTACTATTCGCGTTTGTTGAGGTAAAGATAGCAAAGCTATATATTGAATTGAGTATATAAGAACAATTTTTTTCGCTGATAACATGAGTTTTTTTCAGGTTAGTGCCAACTCTAGCAGCGTTAATGTTATTCTGCACCCACTTGTTGCCGTACATAAGTTCTGGTCCGCAATGGACCCTGGTGGTGAATCATCACGCGGAAATTTGTAAGAAGACGTGGTGGCGAAATTTCTTATTTATCCATAATTACTTCGGATTCGAGAATATGGTAAGTTGTACTGAGAAAAACTCTAGCGTGCGCGCATGCGAAACAATAGAAAGAAGACACTTCCGACGGTCGTTCGAGGATAATTAGAACGCCTCTCGGAAATATTCACGAAAGCGTAAAGCTTGATCTACAATGTGCTCTTTGCTTCCTGTTTCTTGTTCCTGTTTCTTTCTGGCTTAAGATTTGGGTCAGAATGAAATAAAGAGAAAGAAACAGGAAACAAAAAGCACATTGTAGATCAAGCTTAAAATACGAATGTACGAATTAAAATTCAAAAGTATTAAATCAACCTCTTTCTCATGTATGATAATTAACTACGTATTTTCAGTGTCTCACGCATACGCATCACGTGGGCATAGACATGCAGCTATTCGTGATTTCGCCTCTGATGATATTGCTACTGTATAGAAGACCAAAGATCGGCGCGTTGATGTTGGTAGTCATAGCTTCAATATCCACGATATTGAGATTTTACGCCATATACTCCAGACGCCTCAATAACTACATATATTTCGGCACGTCGTAAGTATACACGCTATGAGCCGTACGATGTTTTGCGTCGAATTGAGAAAAGATAATCTCCTTTTTTGTTTTTCACATAGAATCAGAGAACTATTCGATACCGCCAATTACTCCTACACGTTACCGTCACATAGATTGACCGTTTACATCATAGGCATTTTCATGGGTTATCTATTGAGGTACTTACCGAAAGATTTCAAGTTGAGCTCGGTGAGTAGGCGACTGTCGCGTCGATTATCCGCGTGTGTGACCTTGTATCGTTCACGCTTCTCACGACTTCTGACCTTCGATGATTGCAGACAACTCTCTATACAGGCTGGACCGTGTCCACTATGTTGATCGTCATGATTTTCGCCTGGTCCTCGAGAATGGGATCGATCGATTACGTGTACAATCCGATCGACGCTGCTATTTACAACGCGTTCGCTCCTATCGGTTGGTGCACCTTCTTCCTGTGGGTGATCGCGATACAACACACCGGCAATTCCAACGGTAAAGCTTCATACACGGAGAAAAATAATTTGCTGGCCCAGCAAATTTTCTGCTGGTCTAGCAAAATTTTTTATTATATCATATTATTATATCATATTATTATTATATCAAAAAAATTTAGTTAACGTAACTAATTTTACAAATTATTCGTTATCAGAGCAGAAGTAGTTGTTTCGTTGCCAGAATAGAAAAAATGTGTTGAGTGTATTTAAGAAGAATCACGTTAATTTGCTATTGATGCAAAATAATGTATCCTTAACAAATTTATTTGCTATCGGAGCAAAACTGCAACTACTTATATAAATTCATCATGGTTCTTATAGCAAAATAATTTGTAGATTCAAATTATATCCAGCAAATAGTGATTAATACTCTTAGCAAATCTTTTTGCTGTCCATATAATAACGAAAAGATTTTGCTAGACCAGTAGAAAATTTGCTGGACCAGCAAATTATTTTTCTCCGTGTAAAAATTGATAATTCGTGACTAACAATTACTCAAACATAACACGCCGCACGTATTGACTGTTTGCAGGTTTCCTGATCAAATTCTGCTCTTGGCGGGGATTCCTCATTACGACGAGGCTCAGTTATGCAATTTACTTGACGCAATTCCCGATATTTTTTTTCAACGTTGGACGAACGCGCGCTGCGATGCAATACGATGTCGTCGGGACTATGGTGGGTCTTCCTACTGCTATGCTACATCTGTCAAACTAAACATCGACACAATTATACTTAGTTAATCCGCTAACTGATTGTCGTTTTAATGCTATTTTAATCTTATCAATTCACATGATTTATTTCAGATAAATTTGAAGGAAATTATATGGATCGGTATCATATCTGTGATTCTCACGCTGCTGTTCGACACGCCGTTCCAAAACATAAAGAACTATCTATTAAAGAAACCAGTACAAAAGACCGTAGAAGTAAAGTCATCCAAAGTGGAGTGATGCTGTTTCGAATCGAAACTTTCGACCTGTGAATGTTTCTGACCAAATATCTTAACTCGACTGCAATGGTTTAGAGCAGTGCTCGGAATTGGTTGCACGTTATAGGAGATTTTTCGATTCCTCTACTATCTCTTTCTTGCCACTCGTGACTCAAAAATGATCCGCTTGATATACTCGTAACACTAGAATTAATGATAAGCCGCATTACGATTAATAAGGTGCAACGTTGTTTCACTCTATTGGCTCCTGAACATCTTTCCAAGATCCATGTATTTATGCGTTATTGAGCAAACAAGCGCGACGTCTGGAAACTGTCTCAGAAGTGCCAACCGATTCTGTGATCACATTGGTCTAGAGCCTTGTACATATAGCGTTTTTTTTAATTTTACTAGTGAAATTAATGTACAATGCATATTAGAGTAGGATGCGAGTTACCACTTAGGGGGGAATATTGTCATCCTGTAAAAATCAGATCACAAGCTCTTTAGCATTTTACTCGGCTGAAAAAAGTAATCGGTGCGATCTATGTAGAAAACAAGATAGATTAATTTTAACACAAAGCTGTCTACTTTAAGATTTTCCTCCCGCTTTAACGAGGACATATATTTCAGTTATACTTCCTATTTCTTTCCACATATGACCATGGATAATTGTAAATATTAGTTTTTAATTATCAAACAATTGATAAAATAAGACTAAGTTTACGAGAAAGATATTTATATATTATCGATATATCAAGCGGTTACACATGCATACGCACACATACACACAGTGTAGTTTATATGAATGAAAAATAATTAATACAGAGAAATTAAAACATGCGATGCCAATCTGTACGTGTCTATACGGATTGTCATTGAGTATTTTAATTTCTGTCCTCGCAAAAGCAACGATATAGAACGTAATTACTCTAATAAATTAATATTTAAAATTATTAATAACGATAGATAGTCAATAAATTTTTATATCTATGAATCAAAAACAAAAATGTAGTTAGTGAAAAGTGTAAGCGTAAATCGAACAATTGATCATGTAATTGGTACGTTCGCTACGATAAATGTATAGTTTACTGTGTGAGAGGGGAAGACACAGTACTACACAATGATACATATCGCTCAGGAAATTTCGGACTGTGTTGTATTGTAATTGTTGTTATTAATATTAAATACGCGTTTTATATAATTTTATTTGTCTTGTTTTTACTGTTTACCGTATTACACGTATCGTTGAAGAACAGCTCGCACATGTCTCTTCGATACAATTTTCGATTATCACGTAAAGAGCGCAATACATAAAAGAAATGCTTAACTAGTATCATAAAGATATATACATAGATGCATAGAATTTAGGTATATTAAATTTTTTATCGCATGTTTTGCCATGAACGCGCATCAAGCTGAAAAAATATGTTAATCTTGCCATATATGCAATATTTCTCACGTATATACTGACACACAGTTATTACAACGTTTCTTTTTCCAAATAAATCAAGTAACATTAAACTTAGATTATATATATGTTGTCTTATAGTAGCCCATAGTAACTATTATGATTTAAATGTATTTACATAGTTATATATCCATAATAATGAAGTATATCTACATGTATATTTCAATTTTAAGAGATGAACAAATAAGATGATCTGGATGTTAATAAAAGAAAATAGTTAACTGGTCAAATATTTCAAACGAAAATTCTCTTCAAACTCTTTAAACAAAATGAGAAAGAGAACAAAGAACAAAGAAAAAACAATTTTTCATACACCATAGAATTTAAAAAATCATAAATATGACATATGATTATTAATATGCTCGTTTCTTTTTGTTCACTTATAAGATGCTAATCAGTTCTAGCATCAGTTCTAGTTAACCTCTTTTACAGTCGTACTTACAGACATTTTGCAATAAGGTGGTTGATGATTTTACAAGAAAGCCCTAAACTCAGGTTGTTTTTGCTGAAAATGAAAACACAAAAAAATACAACCAAACAAGAAATGAAAAAAAATAATTAATAAATGATGTATTAATAAATGATGAACCATATGTCTTGTTTACTTCATCTAAACGAATAGCTTCTAAGTGTCATAATCTTTTTAATAAGCAGTATCGCTTTTAATGAATTTTAATGAGTTATATCATATTACATATGAACTCGGTAAGAATACATATGCAATTAATATTAATATTTATCGCAACAACGCACACAATTTTGCGTTAGTTATCTGTTACCTTACAAACTAGTTATAAATGCACCAGTGGTACACAGCAGTATTACTCGAGTACATGCAACATTATGCATAGTACAAAGGTCGAATATATGCTGGAACGATTTTTCAAATAATCATAAACTATACTTTCCATATTAGAGATATAAATACGTACTTTTGGTATCATACTTTTTGCTGTAGTCTCGCATATGTAATTATATGAAGCGTTAATAGAACTAACTATACTGTAGCATATAAAGTATAAACTAACAAAGTAATCAGTTAGGTATCTCAAAATGAAGCGAAACCGTACCGAGTTAAAAGTTGAGTCGGTTTGTACCGCCTATCTAGAAGACTGTTAATAAGGAGTTTAGTATTAAAATTACATGCAGCGCAATCTGCACATATAATATTCGTATTGTGAAAGTAGAATTATTGACACAAAGCAAATTCGTAAAATGTCTACTTCTTATACAACATATCGATATATATATATATATATATATATATATATATATATATATATATATATATATATATATATATATATATATATATATATATATATA